CTGATCTCAGCTGAGACCTCTAGGCACGACCATGATAAAACCAATGAAACTAGGGCTGTCAATTAACTGCAGTTAGCTCAAGCGATTAACTCAAAACAAATTAACTTGATTAAAACAATTAATTGCGATTAATCACACCCTTTAAACTTCTTATAACTAGTTGGAGATATTTTTCTACATTTTCAAATATTTTGATTTCAATTACAAGACAGAATACAGAGTGTCCAATGCTGACTTTCTATTATTATTTTTGATTACAAATATTTGCATTGCCAAAGAGATAAGCAAAAGAAATCATATTTTCCATTTCACCTCATACAAGTACTTTAGTGCAATCTCTTTATCATGAAAGTGCAACTTACAAATGTAGAATTATTTGTTTTTTTATGTAATTGCACACAAAAACAAAACAATGTAAAACTTTAGTGCCTACAAGTCCATTCAGTCCTACTTCTTGTTCAGCCAATTGCTCAGACAAACAAGTTTGGTTACATTTGCAGGAGATAATGCTGCCCGCTGCTTGTTCACAATGTCACCTGAAAGCGAGAACTGGCATTTGCATGGCATTGTTGTAGCTGGCATTGCAAGGTATTTATGTGCCAGATGCGTTAAACATTCATATGCCCCTTCATGCTTCGACTTGTAGATTTGCACTATTTTTTTTTACAGTGCAAATATTTGTAATAAAAAATAATATAAAGTGAACACTGTATACTTTGTATTTTGTGTTGTAATTGAAATCAATATGTTTGAAAATATAGAAAAAATAACACCCAAAATATTTATAATAAAGTTAAATTGGTATTCTGTTGTTTAACAGTGCGATTAAAACGTCGATTAATTTTTTATCTCATGATTAATCACCATTTTTTTAATCTTGCAATTAATCATGATTAATTTTTTTAGCCTTGCTGGTGCTCACACCATACCTAGGCGCCAACTTCTCCTGGTGCCGGTGGGTGCTCGATCCCTCCCTGCCCCGCCTCTGTCCCACCTCCTCCCCGAACACGCCGCGTTCCCACTCCTCCCCCCTCCCTCCCACAGCTTGTTACACCGCGAAACAGCTGTTTCACAGCGGCAAGCACTGGCAGGAGAAGCAGGGACGCAACGCACTCGGGTGTGGGTGGAGGCGGAGGTGAGCTGAGGCGGGGGGACGGGGCAGGGAGCTTGGGTGCCGGTGGGTGCAGAGCACCCACCAATTTTTCCCCCTGGGTGCTCCAGCCCTGGAGCACCCACAGAGTTGGCGCTTATGACACCACGTATCCCAGCTGTGCCTGGGCCAGGCAGTCTCCTACTCCCCTACCTGAGGAGGATCCTGCCTAGGCTCTGATGATGCCCCATCATCTCCCTCCCCAAGGAGCTGGTGGTTCAGAAGGGCTGGAGGCTGCCGGAATACACCGTCACCCAGGAGTCGGGGCCTGCCCACCGCAAGGAATTCACCATGACCTGCCGGGTCGAGAGGTTCATCGAAATAGGTAACTGCCGGCCGTGTACTGAGGCGACATGGGTGATGGGAGCATCTCCACCTCCCTTGCGGAGAAGAGGGTCCGGGAGTGGGGGGGTGTTCAGATTAATTCCAGAGACACATGGTGCCCCTAAAGTGGGTGAGTGAATCCAGTGTTCAAAGGTGGAGCCAGGGAGGGGCTGGGCAGGGTCCTGACCCACAGTCCCCTGCTGTCCCAGCCCTGGGCTCTCCCCACCCGAGCTCTGCCGGTGCTCCTCAATCCCGACACACAGCTTCTCTGCTATCCCAGGCCTGAGCTCCTCCCACCCCAGCTCTGCCGGTGCCCCTCAATCCCAACCTGCAGCTTCTCTGCTATCCCAGGCCTCTCTTGAAGGCCCACGCCCATTGGTGATTTTTCCCAGACAAGGCCCTAGGGGACTCCTTGGTGCAGCCAAAGGGCTCCTCTTCTAGCCCTTCCCTGTGCTGTGCAGGAGTTAACCCCCTGTTCCCCAGAGGGCAGGCAGTGCCCATGCCAGGCTGTGGGCATCAGCGATGGCAGTGCTCCCTCTGTCTCCCCCTGCAGGGAGCGGCACCTCCAAGAAGCTGGCCAAGCGTAACGCGGCAGCCAAGATGTTGGTGCGAATCCACAATGTGCCCATGGACCAGCGGGAGGGCAGCGAGGCCGAGGTGGAGGAGGACCAGTTCTCCATTGTGAGTGTGGGCGAGGGCGGGATGGGCATGCTGCTTGGAGACGAGGGCCTCACCTTCTGATAGATGAGGTGTGTCCATAGAGACTACAACTCCCAGCATGCAGTGCTCTGTGCTACTAAGAGACAATGGGGTCTCACCCTTTGATTGGGGAGGTGTGTCCATAGAAACTACAACTCCCAGCATGCAGTGCTCCGTGTTGCTTGGAGGCAATGGGGGCATGTGTCTGGGTTTCTGCGTGGCTCATGGAGACTATAAGCAGAGCAACAGATTGCATGCCGGGAGCTAGAGGCAATGGGGCCTTGCCCTCCCTAATGGAGGGCACGGCCCATGGAGACTACACTCCCCAGCATGCAGTGCACCATGCTGCTTAGAGACAAAGGGGCCTGGTGGGGTGGGGTGGCAACCTGTGGAGGCTACAAGGCCCAGCCTGCAACATGCCCCTTCGTGCTGAGCAGCTGGGCTCAAAGTAGTGGCTTGTCCACCCTACGGCATAGCTGTGCTGGCGGGCCCCGTAGTGTAGAAGTGAGGGTTCCTGCGTGGGCTAAGTGGGCAGGGCTGTGCCCGCATCAGGGCTAGGGCTGTGGCACTCAGGGCGTGTCCCTTTTCCCACCCCCGGGCAGCGCAGCTCTGCAGATCTGCATTGTAAGCGTAGGCCAGGCCTAGACATAGGCCAAGCCCCCAACACCTTGCCCCTCGGCCACTGCTGGGCTGGGCCCCCAGCTGATGCTCTCTCCCCCACCCCAGACCGTGGGGAACAAGCTGGACAGCCTGAAGGGCCGGCTCTCGGCCTGCACCTGGGACTCGCTGCGCAACTCGGCCGGTGAGAAGATCCTGCATCTCAAGAGCCACCCGCTGGGGGCGCTCAACGCCGGCTTCTGCAGCCTCCTGCAGGAGCTCTCCGAGGAGCAGAGCTTCGACATCAGCTACCTGGACATCGGTAAGGGGCAGGGATCCCATGCAGGCCCCCGCCGGGCCCCCAGGAATGCTCCGCCATGCCGTTGAGGGCTGGCACTGTCCCGCCGTGGGGCGAGGGCTCCACTCCACCAGTACTGCCCCCTCTGAGGGGCGAGGGTCCCCCAGCACTGCGCCAGCCCCCTTAGAGCTCTGCTGCATGCTGGGGGCTCCTCAGGCCGGTCGTGGGGACTAGGGGCAGCAACCTCCAGAGTCTTAACTGCTGATGCCAGCCTTGGCGGGAAAAGCGCCCTGCCCTCCAACAGGGACTGAGCACCCTACCCCCCACCCCCAGGGGCTCTGCCTGTCACCCTCTGCCCCTTCCCCTCCCCCGGGCCTGAACACCCTGCCCCCCACCCCTCGGGGCTCAGCAGCCCCCCCCAGGCACACCTTGCAGTGCTCACATCCACGTCCCCCCGGGGCTCAGCCTGCGATGCCCCCGGCCCTGACACCCCATCTCTCCCCTCAGACGAGATGAGCCTGAGCGGCCTGTACCAGTGCCTGGTGGAGCTGTCCACGCAGCCAACCACGGTGTGCCACGGCTCTGCCGCCTCCCGTGCCGCCGCCCGCTCCGCCGCCGCCCGCAACGCCCTGCAGTACCTCAAGATCATGGCGGGAGGCAAATGAGGAGGCGCCTGGGCCCAGCAGAGCCCCTGGGGCGTGGACACTCAGCCAGGTGGGTGCCCGGAGCCAGGCCGGCACACGCCTCCCCAGGCCGGGGCTGGGGCAGACACAGGTTGGACCCACACGCAGCCCCGCGGCCAGGGCGGGGCGTCCTGCTGCCCCCGACTCGCGAGGGGCAGGACCTGGAGCCCCCAGGAGAGATGCCAGCCCTGCCCCTGCAGCCTCCACCAGGCCTGAGTGGGCTCTGGGCGCAGGGACGATCTGGGCTCCCAGGGGCGGGGCTCACTCGCTCCGACACCCCCACCGCATGTGGGGGCACTGAGGGCCAGGTCAGCAGCCCCCTGTAGCAGGAGATGGTTCCTGATCCAAGCGCTGCCCGCTCCAGGGTGCCCTGGGCTCATCCACTGAGTCCTCCTTCCCCAGCCGAGCCCAGTGCTCTCCTCCACTGCACTGTTGGGGGGTAATGCTGCCCCACGGCTCTTCTGAGCTGTCCCCCAGCTGCCGTCCTGCTCCAGCCACAAAGAGCAAAAGTTCTTATTGGCCATAGGGAGGGTCAGCGCCCCCCACCTTCCAACCCCCGTCCCCACATCCCCAGACTCGTGCCCCCTGACCCAGGTGGGGCTGCACCCCCCCCCCCATACCCTTGTTGTCAGCAGCTGAAGCTCCATCCTAGGAACCGGGTCCCGAGTAGATTTGGAGCATGGAGCTGCCCCCCTAGGGGTCTGTGCTGGAGCCGCCCCCCTAGGGGTCTGTGCTGGAGCCGCCCCCGTGGGACTGGAGCGGGGGCACGGCGAGGGCGGGGCAGATTTTTATTGTTATTTAAAGGCAAGACACAAAGTTTTTTAAGCCCAAATTCAGGTGCAGCCAGCCCCTGCCGCGGGCACAAGGACCTTTCTGCGGGATCAAATCCCCTCTGGGAGGGGCAGCTGCCCTCGCGTCTCCTGTCCCAATCAGCGTCTGGAGCCCGTGGGGGGACTGTCCCACAACCCGTGCTGGGGGAGATGGGAAATAAACTGGACAGAGGGGTTTTCTCCACAATGTTGGTGTGTTTCCTTTTTGGGGGACAGGAGGGGGCCAGCTGAGTCTTGGGCTGGGTGGGTGGAACCGGGTGATGGGGGCCAATCGTGGGGTGGGGGCAGCTGCGTGGAGCCAAGGCACCCGGGTGCCCATCGTCAGGTGGGGGTACTGGTTTGCTCCCTGACTGGCAGGATCCTCCCTTGCCCCCCGACTGTGGCTGTGGTATCTAGGGCGCATGCGGCAGAGACCCGTGGCCTCTGGCCTCTCCCTTTCCAGCTCAGTCTATTTGGCTGGAGCCAGGGGAGAGCTCAGAACCGCTCCCTCCCCCTATTTCAGATGGTGTCATGGCGAGGGCGCTGCCCCACCCTGGGTGTGTGCTGCCCCCAGAGGCGAAGGGCGGTAGTGTGCCATAGGCGTATTGACCACATTTCCCCCAGCTGTGAGGCTCATGTTTTATTATCGTTACCAGAGCAGGAGCTATGTGATCCGGCCACTGGGCTGTGCCGGTCATCACAGCTCAGTCTGCTCAGGGGTGGCGGGAGCTTTGATCTGGCCAGGGGTGCTGGAGCCAAGTAGCCCCTCGGAGTCACTTCTTCTTCCCGAAGCGCTGGGGCACAGCCATGCTCCAGAACTGGGAGGCCATGGAGTCCCAGCCACGCTGGCTAAGCCGGCCCTCACCGCCCCAGCTCCCCCGGGTCTCTCGGCCAAACCTGCAGGGAGACAGACGAAGCCCTCAGCTCCAGAAGTGCAAATGACCCAACTCATGGCCCAAGCTTGGCTGGTGCCCCCTTCGTACCCCCTGTTCATTCACCGCCGGAGCCATCAAAACAGCCAAGGGCCAGCGGGATGCACCCTCCTGCGCCAGGACCAGCCTGACATCATCCCCGTTGGCCTCAGGCCACGTCTCCACCCACGTGGCTCCTTCACCAGGCTGCTGGAGCTACAGCCACGGTTAGACTGGGCTGCCAGGTGCCACTGCCGCCCGAGCTGGTCCTGCCAGCTGGATTCTGGGCTTTGTCACCTGAAGCGGGCGTGGCTGAAGCCAGGCCAGCAGCCATTGGGGTGGAACCAGGGCTCTGAGGCAGTTCAGAGCATCCTCTCTTGGTGCCTTGCTGGTGTGTCTTACTCACATGCTCTGGGGTGAACTGGGGCCAGATTGGGGGCTGGGAGGAATTTTCCCCCAGGTCAAATCAGCAGGGACCTTGGGGGGTGGGAGGGAGGTGCCTCCCCTGCAGCATGGGGCACAGGTCACCTGCTAGGATCATGTGGGCATGTCTCAGCTACTCAATGGGGCCTCTGGCAGCTCGGCTCACAACAGCATCGGCGCCTTGAGCCTGTCTGCTTTGGTCTAACCGAAGTCCTCGGCTCGACACAGGGAACTGTCGGGGCTTATGGGGGGAGGTCCGGGGGGATGAGTTGATGGTCCCTGCTGGCTTCAGACTCTCTGACCCATACCAGGCTCCTTTACCCCAGTACTCCTGCATTCACGCTAGAGGTGGTACGGGCCTAACTGGCTACAGTATCCTCGTGCCAGCCCCTAATGGCTATCCCAGTACCTCCCCTGTGTGAACTAGGCTGGCACTTCCAGTCACCTAACTGGAGGGCCCAGAGGCGAGTGGAGATCCACCACCCCGGCCCCTTGGCCCGGCAGCTGGCTGGGGAGCAAGGCAGGGCCTGGTAGGAGGCTGTGGGGCTAGAGTTCTGGACTGGGACTCGGGATGCCTTGGCCTCGTGTGTCTGGCCCACTTGGAGAGGTGCTGCAGAGAGCTGTACTGGGGTCTATAGCTAAGAGCAGCTGCAGGGGCTGTGAGGGGGCCCCAAGGCCAAGGCGGTGTCTCTAAAGGGCTGCGAGCTGGTCACGTGCCTCAGGCTGCCCCTGGTGCCAAGTGGAGCAGGTTTAACTCCTGCTAATCACAATCTGTCCAGCCCCAGTGTAGATGGACCCTGAGGAGAGGGCGCCCCCTAGTGGCTTGTCTGGGGAGCAGGGAGTTGTAATGCCAGTTGGCTCAATTCCCGTTAGCCCTGAACCCGAGTTCTGGGTTGGTGCCACATCCCCAGGCCCTTGGGACTGTATTTGAGCCCAGCTGGTTACATGGGTCTAACCCAGGGGCGGGCAAACTTTTTTGGCCTGAGGGCCGCATCGGGTTTTGGAAATTGTATGGCGGGACGGTTATGGGTGGGGGGTCGTGGCCTGGCCCCCACCTCCTATCTGCCCCCCCCCAGGACTCCTGCCCCATCCAACCCCTCCTGTTCCCTGATGCCCCCCCCAGGATCCCTGTCTGAACCACCCCCGCTCCCTGTTCCCTGACCGCCCCTGGACCCCTGCCCCCCCATCCAACCCCTCCTCTCATTCCTGATGCCCCCCCCGGGACCCCTGCCCCATCCAACCACCCCTTTTCCCTGTCCCTGACTGCCCCCCTGGGACCCCTTCCCCCATTCAACCCCCTATCCACACCCCGACCACCACCCCGAACTCCCCTGCCCTCTATCCAGTCCCCCCGCTCCATGACCCCTTACTGGTGCCTGGAGCACCAGTGGCTGGCAGTGCCACGCCGCCGCACAGCACAGAGCACCGGGTCAGGCCGGGCTCTGCAGCTGCGCTGCCCCAGGAGCTCACAGCCCTGCCGCCCAGAGCATTGCGCCGGCGGTGGAGCGAGTGAGCTGACGCTGCGGGGAAGGGGCCGGGGGCGAGCCTCCCAGGCCAGGAGCTCGGGGGCCGGGCAGGACGGTCCCGCGGGCCGGATGTGACCCCCGGGCTGTAGTTTGCCCACCCCTAGTCTAACCCCTGGTGTGGACGCTTCTTCCAGTAGCAAAGGGCCATTTTCCATTTAGTGTGGCCCTGGGGAAGGGGCTTGAGCTAACTGGGATCCAGTCCCGTGTATGAGGGGCTATGGGGGGGGGGGGCAGGCCAGGGGCAGGTAAAATGAGAACTCACCCCCTTGAAAACGGGGGGGGCAGAGGGGGACTCCTAGTCAGGCAGCGAGCAAGGCTGATGCTGCTTCGTGTTGGAGAACCAAGGGCTACGAAGTTCAGGCTGCTGCAGAGAGCAGCCGGGGGAAGCTGAGATTGGTGTGTGGGTGGGCCCCAGTGCTCCCCCGTCCCCTCCTTACCTTTGGGGCTGGAACAGGAAGGAGGGGCTGCGTCCGGGTCGCTGCAGGGTGTAGAGCAGCGAGCGAAGCAGGGTGCCCGGCGGGCGCTCGTCAGAGAGGGGCCGAGGGGCACGATCCGCACTCTCCTGCTGCAAGGGGTGGGGGACAGGATGGGGTTACACAGCCCCCTGCCTGCAGAGGGGTCCTAGTGCAGGAAGGGAGTGGGGGGGGAGGTATATGGCCCATGGATGGCGCTTAGGCTGTGTCTGGGCCCCCAGCGGGCAGTGCCACCCTATTAACCTGCTGCAGGTGAGCAGTGATGATGCCAGCACAGACCGGGGGTGGGCAGGAGCTAGGTGGTTCTGGGGTTTGCTCTTGGCCACCCCAATATATCCAATCCTCCCACCCTGCAGCATAGTGGGGCAAACAGCCAAGTGCCCCTACCCATTAGCCCCCAACCCTACACACTCGGTGCAGCACGGCCTGGCTCTCAACCCCCCAAGAAGCAGCCAGGCAGGGTACCTGCACCCCCCACCCCTTAGTGAGACTCTCCCATCAAGCCCCCCCTCTCCCCACCACCAGCCATTAGGCCAAACTCTTCACCCTGCGAGGGTCTCTGAGTCCAGCCTGCCAGCAGAGGGCCCCATGCTGCAAACTGCGGCCCCTGAGCTGAACCAGCCCAGAGATCTAGGGGGTGGAGTGGAGGGTTGACTGCAGGGAGATGAAGGTTCACCGAGCCCCCTCCCACAAACAAGGACATTCCCTGGCAACCTGGGCCATGCTCAGGCCCCCCCCCAAGAATTTGCACCAAGTGCCTGTCGCCCCCCGTGCGGCAGAAGGGCAATATTCACACACACGCCCCGGGGGGTGGAGGGGGGGTGTTGGAATTTTGTTCATTCCACCTCAGCCTTTTAACCAGCAGGAACCCAAACTGTTCCTTAGTGTGTACAGCTTGGGTTGGTGCTGTCCCGTGCCGGGAGGCAGCTGCCTCTGGGGTGGAGCTCAGCAGCCGTGTTTAACCACCACCACTACAGGCAGACAGGGAAGGTAAATTCCATTTCCTGTTGGGGAGGCAGAGGGGCATTGCCTGGATGGACGTGGGCCTGGATGGCAGAGCTCACGCCCTGGCTCCCTGGGATGCAACACCAGGTACCTTTGAATGGGCACCTCAAACCCCGCTGCCATGCCCATGGGGAACAACAGCTGTGCTTTAATGAGCATCACAGGGATGCTGCGTCCTGCCCCGCCCCCCCCCAGCACTAACCGGGGTCCAGCATGGACTCCCAGGGGACACTCCAGCTCCTCAGCTGCTCTCTAAGCTCAGTCGTGGTTAGCTCATGGAGCCAGGAAACCAGGGTCCCATTCCCAGCATGGCCACAGCTCTGCTGGGTGACCCTGGAAGTTACTGCCCCTTGATGTGCCTCAGTTTCCCCCTCTGTACAAAGGGGATGATGATACTGACCAGGGCAGGGTGGAAGGCTAATTCCTTGGGCCCCCAGATTCTCAGCAGTGCCCCTTGTGGGCTCCTCTAGCTTCATTCGGGGGGAAGGAACAGCCTGAGATTCTTTCACGTCTCACCCCCAGGTCGGTGGCCTCTTTTGACATCATTGGCCTCAAGATTGGAGGCTGGGCTTTTGCCACCAAATCCCAGGGGATCCCATCCCCCAATTCCTATAGCCTTCTAGAAGGGTCAAAGTGCCCAAATCCTTAGGCACCCCGCCTGAACCGCAAGGAGCCAGTAGACGGAGAGATGCTTGTGTCTCTCCTCCCCGACTGCTGCAACTTTCCTGCTTCCCAGGGGAAAGGGTCAGCCCCAGCCCATCAGCATGGGGCATCCCACGAGGGGTCCAGAGCCTAATGGATCCCCGTGGCTCTGCCTGGAGATGGGGTAGCCCCCAGTGTCTCAGATCTGCCTTGGGACAGACAGGATTTCATTGTGTTCCCACAGCACCGGGTGTGGCTCCCACCCCACTGGGGAAGATGATCCCGGGGGTGGGTCCCCCAGAGCCCAGCAGCCGGGGATGGGGGTCACTGTGGATGGGTCAGGGTCTTTTCTGTGCAGGTGAGGGCAGAGGGTGATTGACACCGGGGCAGGGCGGTGGGGGTGCTCCATGACTCAAAGAGGGAGCAGGGAGCCCCTGCCCAACTGTCGCATCTTTCCCACCAGCAACTCAGAGCCCTTTCATTAATTCAGCCTCATGAGGTAGGTCGGACTTGTTAACAGATGGGGAAACTGAGGCACAGAGGGGGGTCAGGGATGTGGTTCTTCTCAAGGTTACAGCAAGCCAATAATAGACCCCGATCATTGCTCTAACCACTGACCAACGCTCCCTCCTGGCATTGGAAAGGGAACCCAGGAGTCCTGGGTCCCTGTTCTGGCCACTGGCCTGGACCCAGTGAGGGAGCGACAATCCGCACCCAAGAGCTGTGGTCCCTGCCTACCCAGCCCACTGCCACCTCCCCGGGCAGCGCCCGCTCACCAGCAAGTCGGAGAGTCTCTCTAGGTAGCTGTCGGGCTCGTCCACCAGGGTCTCCTTGGACACGCTCCCTCCTTCCAGGCACTGGCCCGTCGTCACGGTGCCCGAGAGCAGGGCCAGCAGCAGCGCCAGGCGCGTGTCCATGGCTGCGGTATGGTCCCTCGCCCCGCTCCCGCCTTGCGCAGTGCAAACACCTTCCCCGGCTGCGGCTCTTATATCCTCCCGAACCCGGAGCCCAGCTCACCGCACGGGCTGGGCTCTGCAAGCGGGATTGATGGGGGAGCCTCACCAGTCATTTGTAAGGCGGGGGCTTGGGGACCGGAGCAGCAGAACTGATTGCCACGCTGGGCCCAGAGAGGAGCCGGCGGCCTCAGGAGAGACAGCACCAGCACCGGCCTGAGCCCGTGGGCCGGGCTGTTTGTACGTTATTACAGGGATAAATCCACTCAAATGGCCCTTTAAGCCCCTCTAAAAGCGACAGCTAATTGACGCTGGTTTATCACAGCTGCTTGCCAGTGCTGGCCCCCGGGGGCTTACACCAGGGCCCCTCAGCCACTGATCCCCCACCTCTGGCCTGCCCCGCAGCCGCCTTGTCAGACTGACTCGGTTTCCCCATCCCCTCCCCGCCCCAGTCCACACATTTGTCACGGCGTCATCTGTCTGGTTAACGGTCCCCACCTTGTCGCTTCCGCCTGTCTCCCTCGGCACCACTTCCCTGCTTAATGAAACCCATTTACCAAGCGGTTGGGACTCGGTGACAGTGACGGGCTGAGACAGGAACACAAGCGCTGGAGAGCCTCCCGCTCCCCCTGCCAGGGCCGGTCAGCGCACCGGGGGGTGAGGGCAGCACCACCGCAGTCCGGGGCAGAAGGAGCCCCCCCCCACAGTGCAGGATCAAGACCCCACTGGGCAGGGGAGGAGATTTTCAAAGTGCCCAAGGGCACCGGGCTTGCTCAGACCTCTGGACAGACCGGCTCCTCCCGGGGGCTAGTGAAAGGTGGTGCCGAGGGCACAGGGCTTGGCCGGAGGGGTGGCGTGCCTGTAACTGCCCCAGTGGGTGGGTGCCTCTCCCAGGGCGGGCACAGCCAGCGTGTATGTAAATAGACACGGGGTGGGGGGCGCCCAGGGGGACCTGGCCACAGGACTGGGCCTAGCTCTGTCAAAGCCCACCCTTGGGTCCAGATATCGTTAGGCCCAGGACAGCTCTGACACCTCCAGACAGGAAGCCAGGATCCCACTGGGCCCCATTGCTCCTGGGCCCTGCCCCAGCTGCAGCTCACACCCCTTGCCAGAGGAGCGAAGTGCTGGGCGAAACGGGAGGCTCTTACCAGGGTGGAGCCTGTCAGAGCCAGGGGAAGGGAGGGGGGTGCCAGGGAGATGGGCCGCTGGGTCTGATCCTGTCTAGACCCAGCAGCTAGGGCCAGTCATGGCTGTGATGGGTGAGCCGGCTGCAGCGTGGAAGCATCTGGGATAGGCCCCCAGTGCAGCCTGGGCTGGTACCACCCCAAGGCACGGCAAGGCCAGGGCACGCTGCCCACTGGGGCCAGCCCAGAGCAGTGACACGGACACCCAGCTACACGCCCACAGGCAAACACGCGTACACATTCACTTGCACACGCCCACCTGTGTGCCCACACTGACACCGACGTGCACTGTAAGGCAAAAGCCATGCACGCCCGTCGACGGGCCCCTCGCTGGCAGTCGCACATGGGCCGTGCCCAGGCCAGCCTCGCTTGCCGGCACAAACCTCTGCACGGTCACAGGGGACGACGCCAACAACCTCTGCCGGGGGTGGATTCAGGCAACGGGAGCCCCGGCACCCCACCCCTGTGCCTTGGCCTCGCCCTGCGTTGGGGTGGCACCAGCCGGGCTCACCTCTCCAAGTGCTGTCCGCTGGGTCCCCCCCCTCCCCTCCAGCAGCCAGGCTGGGATCTGTCCCAGAGGAGCCAAGCTCCAGCCCCAACCCTCCTCCCGCAGCTCGGCCCCTGCCCCTACCAATTGAGCGCCCGACACCAGCAGCAGAGGCCGCGCAGCCCCATGATGGATCTCGCTGCCACTTAGCTGCGCTTGCCGGAGGCTGAGGGGGCGGCAGGGCCCCGCTGGGACAGTCACGTTCAGCACCTGATGGATGCTCCCAATAACCGGCCTGTGCTCGGCCGGCCACAGCTCCAGGCTGCTTTCGCCAGCACCATCGGGAGGCAGGTGCCGTCCATCTGCCCCGGGGCACGGCCTGGCAGGGTGGGGAGGTGGTGCCGGTGGATTAGCCTGGAGCTCCATGACTCAGCGGGCCCCTAACCGTGGGCCTCGGGATCCCCACATAGCCCCTGTGTCGGGGTGGCCCCAGGCGTCTGGGCTGAGGGGAATGGGACAGGCCCACCCCAGAGAGGACCGTGGCCAGCCGGGGCAGGCAGCCAGCAGGCCAAGGCTGGAGCCACTGGTGCTGAGCTCAGAGAGTTTGGCGAGGGCAGTTTCAGTGGAGTGCGAGGGGCAGCCCCTGCAGGGAAGTAGCGTGGCCTAGTGGCGTGAGCACAGGACGGGTGCACAGGACCCCCTGGTTCTAGTCCCAGCTGTGCCCTGGGGACGCTGGGGGACCTTGGGCAAGTCACTTCTGCTCAGAGGTGCCTAACTCCCAATGAAAGCAAAGGGTTTGGGCCTTCCCCGTGCCTCAGTTTCCCCCTCTGTAAAATGGGGGCGGGAGGGTGTCACTGGGGTGAGGGGAATAGCAGCACTGCCCAGCTGAGGATGTCAAAGCATATTACAGGAATCAAGGGACAGACCCTCCTCATCCCCCACGTTGAGTATCCCTATCCCCATTATGCTAACTGGGAAACTGAGGCACAGCACCGCAGCCTGGGCAGCTAAACCACCTCGGCTTCCGGCCAGCTCCTAGCCAGGATGGCCCAGTAGAGTTTTGGGCCCTTGGGATCCAAACGGGCTGGAGGGGGCCATCCAGCAGCTCTGTGAACCCTTTGTTTGGTGTTAGCCTTTGGGCAAGTTCATTGCCCAGAGTCCTAGCCAGAAATGGAGCTGACAAAATAGCTCAAGAAAAGCTCTTTGCAGCTTCCTCTTAAGCCAGCAGTTAGCAGATGCATCCAAGATGGGACGAGAACCCAGGAGTCTTGACTCCCCATCTCCTGCTCTCACCACTAGGCCCCACTCCCTTCCCAGACCTGGGGTAGAACCCAGGAGTCCTGACTCCATGTCCCCTGCACTAACCCCTAGCCACTACTCCCAAGCCAGAGGCAGAAATGGAACCCGCAGGACAGAGTCCGTTCCCTAGGCCGGTGGCCTACCCGAGCCACAAGTGGCCCAGAGCGGCCCAGAACTACCCTGTCTGCTGGGCACGCACAGGCTGAGGGTGCGGCTGTGTGGAAGGGAGCGGATCAGGACTGGCTCCGTAGCACATGGTGCCAGGGGAGCCTGGGGTGACTCAGAGCCCTCAGGAACCTGCTGGAAGTTAGAGGAGCTGGGGGCTGCTCTCATTTATCCGGGAGGGCGCGGGGGGAATTTGGCTCCTGGGCAGCCCATTATAAAGCCACCCTTGTCCCTCCGCCCCGGGCTACCCCTCTGGAGTCAGCACTGCCATCAGCCCAGCCCAGCCCAGCGGGCCCCCAGCGTCAGCCAGGGCCCTCCAGGCGCTGCCATCATCCACCTAACACCAAAGAGGGCAGCTGGCCCCACAGCCCCCTCGTTAAGCTTGAGCTGAGCTTCCAGACAAGGGTGGATATTTCAAAGTTCACTCCAATCTACACCCCTGCCTTGACTGGCCTGAAAACGGACAGGCCAGGTGAAGGGCTGGAGGAGGGCTAGTGAGGCAAATGTGGGGTCAAGAGGTTCCGGAGAGAGAGCCCCTCCCCCCAAAACAACCTCATTTTAAAATCTGCTGCTCCTTCTACCCTTTGGGATGCTGCCCATGACGTCTGTCCCACGAATAACTCCCCAGAAGAGGTGCAGCGGAAGGTAGGTGATCTTGCAACTTCTGCCAAGCAAGTAGGTCTTATTACCAATGAATCAAAGGCGGAAGTCATGAACGTTAGCTTAGCTCCCGCTGATTTTATCTAAAAAACATTCATCAACGTTCTTATCTGGGTAGCATCATCCTTGATCCCGGCGGTGCTACATTGGCTGTCAAACCCAGAACAGGGAACCAAGCGCTTTATTCCAAACGTTCAGTCCAGCATGGCAGTCCCACAGGATCAGTAAAAACTCCACACTTCAGATCTCTAGAAGCAATGTTGGAAGGGCTGGGCTACACTAGGTCGACCCAGCTCCGTCGCCCAAGGGGGTGGAAAATCCAAGCCGACCTAAGTCTCCATGTAGGCAGCGCTGGGTTCTTTCGCCGGCCTAGCTACCGTCTCTCAGGGAGGTGGATTGCCTGCGTCGATGGGAGAAGCCCTCAGGCACCACAGTGAGGACTGTGCTGCTGTAGTGTTTCACGTGTAGACAACAAGCTGTAAGCGGAGCAAAGTCCTGGAAAACCAACAAGTCCATCCAACGCCAACTGAACAGTTTTCAGGGCAGGCGCCTGCATGGCATATTCAACGTAAACTGGACTGATAGGATGAGTAATGAAGAGGTGCTAGAATAGACGGATAGAAGGGATAGAATAGAAGTAGGGCCGGCGCAACCCATTAGACGACCTAGGCGGTCGCCTAGGGCACTACAATTTGGGGGGGGGGCGGCGACCGTGGCGGTATTTCGGCGGCAGGACCTTCCGCCACCTAGGGTGGCAGAAAAGCTGGTGGCGCTCTTGAATAGACGGGATGTGGACAAATTGGAGAGAGTCCAGCGGAGGGCAACGAAAATGATTAAGTGGCACATAAGTTACGAGGAGAGGCTGTGGGAACTGGGCTTATTTAGTCTGCAGAAGAGAAGAGTGAGGGGGGATTTGATAGCTGCTTTCAACTACCTGAAGGGGGGTTCCAGAGAGGATGGAGCTCGGCTGTTCTCAGTGGTAGCAGATAACAGAACAAGGAGTAATGGTCTCAAGTTGCAGTGGGGGAGGTTTAGGTTGGATATTAGGAAACACTATTTCACTAGGAGGGTGGTGAAGCACTGGAATGGGTTACCTAGGGAGGTGGTGGAGTCTCCTTCCTTAGAGGTTTTTAAGGCCCGGCTTGACAAAGCCCTGGCTGGGATGATTTAATTGGGGTTGGTCCAGCTTTGAGCAGGGGGTTGGACTTGATGACCTCCTGAGGTCTCTTCCAACCCTAAATCTTCTATGATTCTATGACTAGACACAATATGAGGATCGGGAGGAAGAGATGGATCTGTTTGGGGGATCTTTTATGACTGCCCGACAGCAGGCTGCCTAAGCAAGCAGTTCTCTGTTGGCCCCAGGGCAAGGGACA